TTTCTACAAATTTCACCGAGTTAACTATCTTCAGTTAGTGAAATTTCTGAAATTTCTATGAGAGAAAATAAGCTATTCAGAAATTTCTCTAAACAATTTAGAAATTTCTCTGAGAGAAAATAAGCAATTTTAAAATTTATCTGAGAGAAAATAGGCAATTCTAAAATTTTTCTAAGCAATTGTGAAATTTCTTTAAAAGAAAATAAGCAATTTTGAATTTCTCTGAGCAATTCCGATTGAAGAGCAAAAAATAGAAGGAAAAAAGGCCAGCGAAAATGACTTAAAACAACTACCTTCAAAACACCGAGGGACCTTACCTAATACAATCTTCTCATAGTCCTTAAGGCCCCGTTTGTTTTGGGTGAAAGAGAGGGTATCCTCACTACTAATCCCCTCACTATCAATCCCCTCACTACTAATCCCCTCACTATCAATCCCCTCACTAATAATCCCCTCACTATTAATCCCCTCACTATCAATCCCCTCCATTCTATCTCAATCTTCTCATAGTCCTTAAGCTTCTATGTAAAAGATGAGAGGGATTGGCGCATAATTTTTCCTAATATACAAAGGTCCGTTCCGTCTGGTTTAGTTTTAAAATTATGATTTGAGTGTGGAGTTAAGTTTTGAGTTTTGAATTTTTAAATCATGATTTGAAAAGAAAAAAATTATTTGGTTATGAGTTTTGAAAATAATTTTGAGATAATTTGTAATTTTTTTTAATTGATTGATGTATAGAATTTGAGAGGTGACAGGAGAGATAAGAGAAAAAAAATGATTGATTGATTGATTAATAATAAATAAATAAAAAAAGAGAGAGAAGAGAAGAGAGGAGTTTTGAAAGTAGTTTTGAGTTATATTTTAAAAATATGTTTGGTTAACATGTTACGTCTAAATCATGATTTAAAAACACAATTGAATTTTGAAAAATAAACCAAATGCTACCTTAGTTTTTAGATTTTAATTTCAGTTTATATAGTCTAATTTTAGAAAATTCATTCAAATCAGGTGGAAATCTAATGAACCCCAAAAAAATAAAAATAAATACAAGTTAGATAACTTAAATTATAAGGCTAAAATAGTAAAATAAATGAAATGGTTAAATGGATATAAGGCTAGAATTTGGAAGGTTATTCCATTGGCAATCATGTGGTCTATTTGGAAACTCAGAAATGAAGTGATCTTTAGTGGGAACCAATTCTGCCTCGCTGACTTCTGTGAGTTGATCATGGCGAGAGTGGCATTTTGGGTCAAAGCTCACTCCAAGGGGTGTTCTTATTCGGTCCATGACTTCATCTGCAATTTGCAACAAATCAGTATGTGCCTATGTCTTGATGCTGCTAAGTGGTGCTTGGTGGAGAGCTTTGGTGGCTTTTGTTGTCTGCTAGTCTGCTCTTTCGTAAGCTTGTGGGCAGGAGGAGGGGGCAGTTGTGTTTTGAACCTTGTGCTCTGTTTTGTTCTCTGTTGGGTGGTATCTCACCATCCTCTGGTTGCTTGTAGGGTGTCTCTTCACTCTGCTTTATTCATGTAATTCATCTTGTTGTATGTTGCTATCATCAATAAAATTGTTCTTTTTACCGATAAAAAAAAAATAAAAAAAATGAAATGGATATAAATAATAATTTTACGGTTAGACTCTATGACCCAAAATAGTAAAATGCTACACAAAACATTTTTTTATATGCTTTTCTTATAAACAAATCTGGGATTGTGTAGTTAAATTTTGGAATGTGAAATGAGATCTAATTTATTTATATGAAAGTTTCACATCATTTTTTAACGAAATGTTTAATTGAATAGCAATACTCAGGTCTCGTTTGGTAATTTTTAATTTTAACCAAAAAATCAAAAAGTCACTATAAGTTATTATATCACTTTTTCTATTTTTTTACACATTTTTCATAAAAAATAAAAAAAAATTACTAAAATAATATATTTCCAAACGAATACAATAAACTTAACAAATTTAACATAATTATATTCATTTCTCTTTGAGTGAGATTAAAATAATCAAAACTTATGTAGATGGGTGTAAACACATGAATAATTAATAGTAAAATATATATCTTAGTAGAAAAGATTTGATAATATCACTTTTTTTCTGCAAATGTCTAAAGAATAATTGATGAAAATTGAGCAAAATATTAAGCGAATTAAAATTTTAGGAGAGCATCATATATTTTATTCCATGTTAGTGGAACTTGATTTATTTCCAAACCTCAAAAATATGTAGTATTAAGGGTTATCATTTGACTTGAAGGCTCATGGTTCAGCCCAAGCCCCCCCGACTCGATGGGCTTTTACTTGGCCTAAGCGCGTACCCGAGGTGGCCCAAGTCAAATAAGGCTTGGGTAGGTAAACATTGGAGCTGCCGAGGGGTGGAGGGGGTCCCCAGCTATGTTAGTTATGGCTAAGGTGGACGTAAGGTTAAGGTTTGGGCAGTGGGGGGTTAGCGACACCAAAAGGTAGTGGTTGATGTAGTAAAATGGTGAACAGTTAGGGGAGGGGTTGAGAGAGAGTCACCAAAGAGGGAGGGCGCTAGGGTGGGGTCGGTAGAGGGAAGGAGGCTATCGAGGGGTTGCTAGAGGTGGAGGTAGGGGACTAAAGGGTATTTTTGAGATTATGATAATGTTGCAAAGAAAAAGAAGGGAGTTTTTATTTGCACATCCCCAATCCCCTCTTTACACACATTTAATAAAAATTATTTTTATTACTATTTTATTTTTAAGTGAAATTACTATTATGGACATTAAATAAACTCATTCGGAAGTTGAATGTCGAAAAAATAAAAAAAAATTCGGAACTTTACTTCTGAACAAGTTATTTATTTTCGAAATGCTACTTTTGAATCAATTGTTTATTTTTAAAAATCTACTTCCGAACTAATTATTTATTAAAAAAAATTGTGTAAAGAGAATAATGGGTGTGTAGATAAAAGCTCACGAAAAAGAACGTGGGGGCGAATTTTAGTGGTGGGGGTCAATAAAATATTTTTGTTTCAAATGTCAATCAAATGCCGAAAAGCAAAAACAAAAATAATTTTTTCTTATGTAAAATCAATTTACAAAAAAAATATTTTTTTGTGTAAAATATTTTGCGTCGAAACAAATGGAGCCTAAGTATTTTACACAAGGATATTATTTTGTATAAAAATATTTTACGTCGAAACAGGAAGCTTGCTTTCTTAGTATCCCATGGTTTTCCTTGTTTATCAGCAAATGGTAGTTATTTACTTCTTGGATAAATTACATTAACCTCCTCTATAGTTTCAATAATTACATTAATCTCCCTTACATTTGTAATTGTTCAAAAGCTTGACAGAAGTGAACAACATGGGAGCTTCTATTTGCACATCCACAATCCCCTCTTTACACACATTTAATAAAAATTATTTTTTTTATAATTTTATTTTTAAGTGAAATTACTATTATGGACATTAAATAAACTCATTCAGAAGTTGAATGTCGAAAAAATAAAAAAAAATTCGGAACTTTACTTCCGAACAAGTTATTTATTTTCGAAATACTACTTCCGAACCAATTGTTTATTTTTAAAAATCTACTTTTGAATTAATTATTTATTGAAAAAAATGTGTAAAGAAAGAAATGGGTGTGTAGATAAAAGCTCACGAAAAAGAACGTGGGGGCGAATTTTAGTGGTGGGGGTTAAAAAAAATATAGAGTCCCCGTTTGGGGACTTACCTTTTTAGCCAAAAAGTCAAAAAGTTACCTTTTTAGCCAAAAAGCCAACAACTCATACTAAAAAGTCAAAGATTCTCTTTTCTCTCTACTTTTTGCACATCTTTTCGTAATTAGCTAAAAAGTCATCCCAAATATATAAATTTTTTTATCTACTTTTTTAACTAAATAGCTAAAAAATTACTAAATTAGCCTATTTCCAAACGAGGCCTTAAAAAAAAGTGAAACGCATTTAGTAACACTCAATGAGAAAAAAAAAATCCAAAAAAAAAAAGTTTTAAATCTTGGCTTGTTGAGCTAAGTCTATCAACTTGCCTGTAGCGCCAAGCCCATTGGGTAGGGTGTGGGCCTGAGATTTTGGCCTACAAGATAGCGTGGTTAGAGCCTATCAGAAAAAACCCACTAGGCAATTTTAGGCTCATATAATATTAAATCTTCTTTCTAAATCTAATTCTAATGATATATAATTAATAATTAAAAAAAAAAGATATAACCCAAAATAAGATTAAAGTGACCACATTTGTCTACAACTGTTTAATGGATACACCACTCAAACTAGATATTGTAGTCACAAATATATCATCATAGAGTTGAAGACATCATGTAACAATTATAGACTCTCGGTTATCCAAATGGAGAAATAATAAATGTGTTTGGTTTGAATTTTTTGAATTAAGTTTTTTGAAAATTGAATTTTTTGATTTTCGTATTTTTTTGTTTTTAATGAATATTTTTAAAATTTTAAACATTTTTTTTATTTTTTTAGAAGCACCTTACTTAGATGTATTTAAAAAATAAAAAATTTATAAAAAAACATTTTTAAAAATTAATAAATACATAAAAATACAAAAAAATGTACTGAATTATCGTATTTTTTTTATATTTTTGATATTTAGTGAATTTTTAAAAGGTTTTTTTTAATTTTTTTTTACTTTATAGGTATATTTATGTTAGGTACGTCTAAAAATTAAAAAAATTGCTCAAAATATTAAAAAAAAATCAGTAAAAATAAAAAAAAATACGAAAAATAAGAAAGTAGAATTTTCTAAAAAATATTTTTGAAAAATGATAAGCAAGCATATATTCTCCACAAACTTGATAATGAATCTTACTCAAAGCACCTGAATCTAGAGAGAGAGAGAGGTCTGGCTTGAAATGAGGAAGCTACATCATGCACCCAAAATGAGGACCATTGAATTCATCTCTCCTAATTTTAGCCTTTTGTTTTTGCCAACCAACCAGCAATTGCAATAATAATTCCCCTTCAGTTTTTACTAATTTTCTTTTTTTTGTAAAATTTTCTCATCCTCATTTCTCAGTCTTTCAATTCTCATGCAAACCCCATAATCTCTCACTAAAAAAAATAAAAAATGAAATTGGAGAGATCATCATATGCCTCCTCTCATTGTCCCACCAAAGTTCAATCATGTCTATAGCATTCTCAGAAGCCATTCCTTTAGATCAAGAAAAATAAGAAAAAGACTATATAGATCAAGATGGCCACTTCATTAAATGCACCCAAGAAAACATTCTCCTCCTCCACCTCCTCCGCATCAGGGGCCGAACGCCCTCCTGCTGCCGTCAAGTTTGCACGCCGCACATCGAGTGGTCGCGTCGTTAGCTTGTCTCGTGATGATGACCTCGACATGTCAGGCGACTTTTCGGGCCAGAACGATTATATTAATTACACCGTCATGATGCCACCAACCCCAGATAACCAGCCTGGAGGCGGGTCATCTGGGGCAGATGGTTCAGGGGACAAGCCTGATGGGTCGGGCCCATACGGGCCAACGAGCCGGTTTGCAGTGGAATCGCAACGTGGGAGGCGGGGTAATGGTGGGGACGAGGAGGGTGGCAATGGGGGCAGTAGTGGTGGTGGAGGAGGGGGTAAGTTGGACCGGAGGATGTCGGTGATGAAGTCAAACAACAAATCAATGCTGCTGAGGAGCCAGACAGGGGATTTTGATCACAACCGTTGGTTGTTTGAGACAAAAGGGAAGTATGGGATTGGGAATGCATTTTGGCAAGATGATGATGGTTATGATGATACTGGGATGAGCAAGGCTGATTTTCTGGACAAGCCTTGGAAGCCTCTCACTAGGAAGGTTCCCATTCCAACCAAAATAATTAGCCCTTACAGGTAGGTGCACACATTCATTTATTCATACTAGGATAATGTTATATATGTACATATGTAATGATACACACTCCAAAAATTTCTCAAAATGCATTCAACTATATATAAATATCATTTTCCAAGTTTTGGGATTTTAACCAGATATTTGAAGGGAATAAAAGTATTGGGAGTGGGTGTGGGTTTGGGTTTGGAGAATTAGAGCTAAAATATAGGAAAATAGTTTTTTTGTTGTTGTTGTTGTTGTTGTTGTATGTATAACTTGTGTAAGTTTGTTGTAACTTTTGTTTTTCTATTTTTTTTCTTTTGCTTTTTAATAAGATTAGGGTTTAACTAAGAACTAGTACTTTAAATAATAATTTATGAAGACGTTTGTCATGTGACATGGTTGTGAATTTTTTAAAATCATCAATACCAAAAAAATGTTTCATAAGAGTATCGGATATACTAGTAATGAATTAGTTATCAATTACGTTGTAAATGGATTATGAATTGATATGTATCACAAACTTTTTGATAAGTAAGCAATTTTTCATTCTCACTAGTATATCAAATTGTATCAATGTCTGTTTGCCAAAACACAAGCTTGGTGGGAGGGAGATAAAAATGGTGTTCAAGCCTAACGAGCTTAGCTTAGATCAAATCTATATTAATTATTCATACAAGACAAACGTTTTGGTGTATGAAAGTTATCAATTGATTTCGACGTAAGAACTAGACCCACCCATTTGGGCTTGTAAGCATACCAGGATTCCTTTTTGAGCAAGGATCCTCTAGAGTTTTTTTCCCTAAAGTTTCTTAGAGTGGTGTGTTGTATGGTTGAGATTTAATGATAAGTCACCTCAATTTTTTAGCATTAAATCTCACCCATACAACACACCACTTTAGGAAACTTTAGGAAAAAAAAAACTCTAGAGGATCCTTAGTGTTCCTTTTTAGTTGATTCAATCTATTGACTTTTATAATTTTTATGTGTAAATTATCTATTAAAATAAATTAAATTGATCTTGATAATTGTATTTGATCATATTCATCTTAAAAAGAAATAATATGATTTTAAAAATAGATCAATTATTTTTTTCTAATACAACTGTGATGAAATTATGTGACTAGATTATTATTATTATTTTGAATGATTTGTACTATACACAGTGATCTAAAAACTTAATGGATCAAGTAATCAAAATGGTGTTGCAATGATTCAGTGAAATTTATCAAAAGCAATAAACAATTGAGATATTTTTCAGGGTAAATTATTAATAAGTTTTAATAGTTGGACTTAATTTCCATCAAGTCCTATTGAAAATAAGTCCCAGTAAATTCGTCGACAAAAATAATTTTTTTGTGACGATTTTTTACATATGTCACTAAAAATTGACGATTAGTGACTTTTTTTGTCACAATTTTTATAAATTATCAATAAAACTTACAATTAGTGACGTTTTTCTGTGACAAATGTTTCAAATTGTTGTTAAAAGTTGTAAATTAGTTACTTATTTGTGACAATTTTTTAAAAGGTCGCTAAAACTTATAATTAGTGACATTTTTAAAAAAATTTTAAACTGTCGTTGAAAATTAACAATTAGTGATGTTTTCTAATAGTGTTTAATAAAAAAAATGTCATTATCATAGGACCTGTCGAACAATAAGTTCACTTATTAAGATCTACACATAAGTTCTCTTTTTTAACTTTGTTTATGAGTTTTGATTTGTTTTTAGTTGATTTATGTTAGTTTGTATTGAAATGTGATATGAGAAAGTGTAAATAGTTGAATTGTATTTTTTTTATTTAAATATTGTCATATTGATAAATTTATCATTGAAAGATGTAGTGAGATTTTTTGATAAATAAATTGAATCCACAGGAGTTACTTGTAACTACGCTTTATTCTATACACAATGATCTAAAAACAAGAAGTATGGTTTTAATTTTTTTTAAACATATGTAATGAAATTATGTGACTAAATTTTATTAATTTATTTTGAATGATTTACACTATACTAGTAATCTAAAAACTTAACGGATCAAATAAGCAAAGGAGAAAGATCTTCTCTAGTCTAAAATCTAAATTGGATGGCTCTATTTGATTAAATAATCAAAGGAGAAGGGTTTTCGTTTCAATGATTCGAACTATTCATTTTGTCAGTCACTTCGCTTATTTTATCCACATATAAAATTAGACCGATCTAATAATTATAACTTGTTCAATTTATTGTGTTTGTCACCAAAAAAATGTGTGATTTATTTTTAAAAACATAATTGTCGTTCATTTTTTTGGTAAAAAATTGAATATATTACGATTCTGTGATCAACCTAATTTTTTGTGTGAATGTAACACACAAAATACCTAATAAAATGAACGATTCAAATCATTAAAACATGACCTGTGTTGAGCCTGGACTGAAAGGGATGTGCCTCCATAATCAAACTAATCTTTCGCTTAATACAGAATTGACAATTGAAGTACATCATATGAGGTTGCATTAATCGAGGATACATGATAGAAGGAATTGTTTTATTTCCAAACTTCACCTTCTAGATTTCTTCCAATATATATATAGATATAATTTTTTTATCCTGAATTATGTGTCTTCCTCGGAAGACCGAGAATGAACCATGTTATTTAAAACCAACATTTAAAGATTATCTAGTTAAGACTTTTTTTATTTTTTATTTTTGAACAGGCTACTTATTGTGGTGAGGCTGGTGGCACTCTTCCTCTTCCTTGGCTGGCGTTGGCAAAACCCTAATCCAGAAGCAATGTGGCTATGGGGTCTGTCCAGCGTCTGCGAATCATGGTTCGCTTTCTCATGGCTTCTAGACATTCTCCCAAAGCTCAATCCCATCAACCGCCAAACAGACCTCGGGGCCCTACGCGACAAGTTCGAGTCTCCCTCTCCATCGAACCCCCACGGTCGCTCTGACCTACCGGGAGTGGACGTGTTCATCTCCACCGCTGATCCAGAGAAAGAACCACCTCTCACCACTGCCAATACTATTCTTTCGATCATGGCTGTTGAGTATCCTGTTGAGAAGGTTGCTATATATATCTCTGATGATGGTGGTGCAATTCTTAACTTTGAGGCCATGGCTGAGGCTGTCAAGTTTGCTGAGGTGTTTCTAATATTCCTTACCTTTTTTTACAATTAATACTACAGTTGTCTGGTTTGGTATCCATTTTGGGGGGATGATTTTAATTGTTCATTTTTTGGTATTTTTGAAATAGATTATTTGTGCAAAAAAATTAAGTTGACTAAATATTAATAGCTATATAAATCGATTTAATGTCTTAAAAAATGCACACTACGTCTCTGCTTGGGAAGAAGGGTTGGGTTGAGTTTAGGATTATTTTAACCACAAAAACACAAAATAGTTTTTTTAGCACAATAAGACAAAATATCGCATTCAACCTATAATCATTATATTCTTTCTCTCACAAAAATTTAAAAAAGTCAAAAAAATTCTTCCCAAACAAAACTTTCTACCCCGAGATTAAAAAAGTCAAAAAATTAACTGACTTCCCAAACGAACCCTATGTATAAACTACTCATTTAAAACAAATGTGATTTATTAATTTGGCTATTACTATCCAATTAACCTAATTTTTTAAATTGATAATTTACTTGATATACACTAAAAACTAAACTATTTGGATCACTGAGTTGGATTTGAACGCTTAAGTAGTCCAATTAGTGCATTGGAGGAAAGCTTCAATAATTCTCATACGACAAATTAATTTTGTTCAAACATCAAAATAAACACATTTTGAATGAATTACTTTGTGTATCCAAAATTTTTATGAGTGAATTCCAGGTTTGGGTGCCATTCTGTCGGAAACACAGCATTGAGCCAAGAAACCCAGACAGCTACTTCAGCAACAAAACGGACCCAACAAAAAACAAGAAGCGGCCGGACTTTGTGAAGGACCGGCGGTGGATAAAGAGGGAGTACGACGAGTTCAAAGTGAGGATCAATGGGTTGACCGATGTGATCATGAAGCGATGCGACATGTATAACAAGAAGGAGGAAATGGAGGAGAAAAAGCAAGTGAAAGAGAAGAACGACGGAGTTTTGCCGCCAAATGTTGAAATGAAGGTTACCAAGGCCACTTGGATGGCCGACGGGACACATTGGCCGGGCACTTGGTTTACTGCAGCGCCCGATCACAAGAAAGGTGACCATCCTGGAATTCTGCAGGTCAGTGTCATTTTTTTATCTCATCTTTTACTGTATACTCACAATCAGAGTAGACCCTACATCACTGTATACTCTCATCTTTCTCTTTAACTCCCTTCTAACATGTTAGGTTTGTTAGGTTATTGGGTGTACTTTTAGATTTAATTTTGATGATCCGAACCGTTACAAGTTAAGATTTGTTGAGTATATATCATACATTTTAAAAATTAAGTTGAATGGATATCAAAAAACATGTGTTCGGAAAATTATTTATTAAATTTTTTTAAAAATTGGTTTGTAGTTCGATAATCCGAACATATAATTTCTGATATCCGATCAATTTGATTTTTTACAGATATGATATACTTAATAAATCTTAAAATATGAACGGTTCGAATTATCAAAATTAAACCTAAAAGTGAGTCTAATAACCTAGGAAAAAGAGAATTAAGGAGAGAGAGGAAAGAGATGATCTAAATTCCATTTTCTAACCCTCTTTTTTACTGTGTATTCACAATGGGAATAAGGCCTAAGTCCCACTCTCTTTACGAGTATACACTATAAAATTTCAAAGTTTATAAAGAGACTATCCTCTCGTTAAGAAGAGGGCTGACATCGTCATATGAGTCCCACTCTTTTTATGAGTAAATAAAAAATATTATTTTATCTTTTAAATTATTTTTTAAATATTAATTAAACTCTTAAATTTTATATTATTTAAGGGTGTAAATGATATTTTGGTAGATAAAATGAGATTTGAATGTTACATTAGTAACTTTTGTTTAATAATAGATGATAATTTAACAGTGAAAGTGATGTAAATAATTTAAGTATAAAATTGATATTATTAAAATAATAGAGGTTAAATTTGTTTTTGAGTAATAATTTGATAGGTAAAATGGTAATAACTTACGTTTCGTTTGTTTCGATATAAAATATTTTACAAAATAAAAATATTTTTCTTATAAATTGATTTTACACGAAAAAAAATATTTTTTTTTGTTTTTTTTTTCACTTAAAACAAAAATATTTTATTGTCTAAAAGAAAGTTTTTGATTCAATAAAAAAAAAATTTAATCACATCACCTCTCTATTGTTTTACATATTTTTTTATAAAAAAAATGTCAAAAAAAGTCAAGAAGTTAAACTTCTAAAAATAATCCAAAAAATTAAATTTTTTTACAAGCTAAAATACTTATTTAAAAAGAATATGTTAAAATGGTAGTGAATGAAAGTCAATTTTATACAAATTAAATTACGAAATTTTTAAACGGCATTTTTGGAAAAAATGATATAAAAATATTTTTACTTACTTATATTCAACCAAATAATAAAAAATAAATAAAATATTTATGAATTAAAAATGGAATTAAAAATTGATGAGATGATTTGACATAAATTTATGAAGGTGATGAGCAAGGTTCCGGAAATGGATCCAGTGTTGGGTGAGCAGGACGAGAAGAAGCTGGACTTCACGGGCATCGACACCAGGATTCCAATGTTCGCGTACGTCTCCCGAGAGAAACGCCCTGGTTACGACCACAACAAGAAGGCTGGAGCCATGAATGCCTTGGTGCGAGCTTCGGCCGTACTCTCCAATGGACCCTTCATTCTCAACTTGGATTGTGACCATTACGTTTACAATTCCATGGCCATTCGCGAAGGCATTTGCTTCATGATGGACCGTGGTGGTGATCGCATTTGCTACATTCAGTTCCCTCAGAGGTTCGAAGGCATCGATCCCTCTGATCGTTATGCTAACCATAACACTGTCTTCTTTGATGGTATGTATGTATTTTTCTCCATCTTTTTTTTTTTTTTAGGGTCTTTGATGTTTGTGTTAATTACACTTTTTCATTTCTATACTTTGCACTCAAATTTCATTTTTAGGATTTATTTTACTTCTCTATTGTGTGTGAATTTGAACAATTTGATTCTTCCATCTAGATTTTTGAGTAAATTGCTGTTTGCCCTCTTTGTGTTGGCTATTTTTTCACCCGGACCTGTTTTAAGTTTTTTTTCTAATTTACTCTTAAAGTTAAAATCTATTCAAACTTTACACAAAAAAAATATGAGTTAACTTGTCACATGACATATATATATATATATATATTATATTAGGGTTTAGGTTTGTATAAGAGGTGTGACTTATATATAATAAAATATTTTTATGTTACGTGATTGTTAATGTGTTATTTTTTGTTTAATTTTAGACATTAGTTAACTTTTAGAGTAAATTGAGAAAAACTTGAAACATAAAGGATGGAAGTGAGAAAAGAAAAAAAAAAATTAAGAGCCAAATTGAGAAAATGGTGAAACATATAGGGGCAAAGTGTAATTTACTCAAATTTGTGTTAGTTTTGCCTACGTGTACAGCTTAGAAAAAATTGACGAGTATCCCAAAAAATGTTAATTTTAATTTTCAATTTAGATGGAATGAACAAATTGAAATTACACTTAAAGTGTAGGGCTAAATTATTTAATTTGAAACTATAGGGACTAAAATAAAATTTGAAGCAAATTACAAAGGTGAAAAGTCTAATTCATTCTTGATGTTTTGAGTAAAAATTTGATTTGATAACCAAAATTTTACCTAATAATGTTTTCAAAAATTTCCATCTTATCCTAAGAATGAAAATTTAGAAAAGTGCATTTTTTTTGCATACATATACTTATTTGGGTCACATCAATCAACATCTATCAACATTTTTTCTCTGCTTTTCTACCAACTTTCTCTTCTTTTCTATACATTTTTTTTTTTTTATAAAAAGTCAAAAAATGCACTTTATAGAATATCCTAAACCACCCCTTAGTAGATTAATGAAGCAAATATAACTCTTTAGGATATCTGAGTGAAGATTTGAGTCTCTTTCATTGCTGGTTAAAATCAATTTGGTATGTGTTTGAGTCAATAAGTGGAGAGAAGAGTTTGAGTATTTTTTACACAAATTTAAATTTGAGTCAGCCTTTGATATTTGATTAAGGATTAGAAATGCCCTTAGTATATATATAGTTTCCTGCTCCACATATACATATTATAGTTACTAGGCCTAAGCCCTACGGTGCCCTTAAGGGAGATTAAAGAATGAGGGCAGTGTGGTTCTATTTTCTTTTTCTTTGTTATTGTTAGTATTGAAAAAATGTGTAAAAAGTGTATTAAAATGTGTAAAATTGTTTTAGAATATGTGAAAAATGTATTGAGATTTTAAACATTTTAGGTTGTCATTAGTCGGACCATTTTTTGTTTTTAGTTTAGTTTTAGTTTTTATTGTTTTTGAAAACAAAACAGCAAAAAGTTTAAAAACAAAATAATGAAAAGTTTGAAAGCACCCATCATTTCATATCATTTGATGTCTCTTTGAAAACTATTTTTGAAAATTTGAAAACAACTTTTTTAATTTTCTTAAAAAATGAGTTGTTTAAAAAATATTTATCAGAAATTGTTTCCCTAAAAAGTTTCACAAACAATTTTTTAATTTTATTTTATTTTGAAAAATGAAAACAAAACCAAATAGGCCCTAAAACTTTTAACTATTGATCCACCCTTAGCTTCGAATATGTAACTTTTTTATGTGGAATTTTGTGTACAGAAGGGTTTCATAGTTAGGGATTCTCTTTGTAAATTAAATAGTTTTAAGTAGTGATATACAAACAAAAAACAATCACTTAGAAAAGTATCAAGAATTTGATTTTATCATATAGATTTAAATTTGATGTGATGTGAATTACATTGCTCATATAATGAATCTGTTCTACACATTTCAAATTTTGAGCACTTTTTAAGGTTTTTTTTTAGGGTACATAGCTTTGGTGAAAGGAAAATTTATACAAAAAATAATATACAGCATGAATTGACAAGTTTTGATCTTATCACTTTAAAGCAAAAGACCTATCATGTGGCTTAAGTTTTGATAAAATATTATTATTAAATATCTGTTTATAAATTCTGCAAGAATAGAGTTTTGTAAATAGTTTATTGGGCTCGTCATGGCATTGTAAATATACAAACTAATGCTAATGAAACAGAGACATTGCTTCAAATGGCAGTCATCATCACACATGTGGACATTCTAAAATTTTGTTGATTTGTTATTTTGGACACTGAAGAGCAGTTCAGTTTTTACTAGATGTGCAAAACAAGTTCTAGTTAGATTAATCCTGATAAAGTTAAACATATAATCAGCTCAATTTTCTCATGTATATAGTTCAATAGATTCTCAAAAATATATATCCTTTCATGCCTATGTTAGGAAACAGGACCAGGATCAATCATCTAATCTGTGTATATCTATTCAAAAATTGTTAATACAGTCCATGCAACAACACAAGGAAATGAAAATAACTTAAACTGGTTTATAAGCACTAATTATCCCAAAACCCCATGAAACTTAACTATGGAGTTTAACAAAATGAAGTGTTGCATAACTCCATAGTTCGTGAATGTTAAACTGAATCACCTAGCGTTACACAGTTCATTATAAATTAGTTCAATAACTAAATTGCTTGTATGTCATTAAAGTATGTGATGATCAAGAAATTCACGAATGGGGGCTATGATGCAACTGTTGACAAAGTTCAACAAAAAGCAAAACCTTATTGAAACCTTGTCCAATGCACCAACAAAGCTTCTTTGTGGATCCCTTGACCATCTTCATAAACTTGTTTTGTAGCCATTTGTTCTTTTTTTTCCATCTCCACTAAATTTTTAGTTTGTTACTAACCCAAGTTCTGTACACTTTCCCTTGCACAAATCTTTTCTTTGATCCTTATTATCTCAATGTATTATTCTACTTAAATTTTTTCCATGACTGATCCAAAAAAAAAAAACAGGGAACATGAGAGCCCTGGATGGTCTGCAAGGCCCGGTGTATGTGGGAACTGGCTGCATGTTTCGGCGTTATGCACTTTACGGTTTCAATCCACCAAGGGCAAATGAGTACTTGGGCATTGTTGGGCAGAACAAGGCTCGTGCAGCAAGTGTTCCAGCACAGGCCGATGACGACTCAGACACACAGCCCTTGACTTCTCACCCTGACTTGGGCCTGCCAAAGAGATTTGGTAATTCCACCTTGTTTGTGGACTCAATAGCCGTTGCTGAGTATCAAGGACGCCCGCTTGCTGATCACATTTCTGTCAAGAATGGCCGACCTCCTGGCGCATTGCTCGTTCCCCGTCCTCCACTTGATGCACCCACTGTTGCCGAGGCCGTTGCTGTCATCTCCTGCTGGTAATTACTTATTTTCAAATCCTTTCAAAACTTGGATCGCAAAACATTATACATGATGAGTAATGCCTGATGCACAAGTTAGCATGAATTCTTGGATAGTAAAGTTCATCCTGCTGCATTCTGTCTACTATCCCAATTTTATTATTTTATTTTTTATATCCCTTTACTGACTATATCGGGATTTCACTATATTATGCATTGATTCAAAAAAATAAGAAGAAGAAAGAAACTTAGGATTGCAAACTAGTCAAGCTAAACCAAGCTTTGTAGCACTCAGAGCTCAACTCAACTCGTTCATATTAATCATGCTCAACCTCGGCTCGAAGCTTGATAGAGAAGAAAAAGTTTGGCTTGCTCGGTTGGCTTGCTATATTTTATTTTATACTAAATATGCATATATAGCACATTCTACATTATTTAATATAAAATATATGTTTTCATCTCATTATTTAAATAAATAGTAAACAAGCCGAGTTTATTCTAGCTCAAGCTAAATGAGCCTAAAAATCAGACTCAGGATCGTTTATATACATGAAGAGCCAATCCCCTACCGAGTCGAACGCACAAATAGTTCGGTTCATTTGTGGTCCTAGAAATTGGTTGTCACATTAGCGTGTCAGAGGTTTCTGTGCATTTTGTGCACATATTTTCCGAAGACGTAAAATTGTTTTCTTTTGGCTAAGAGAGGAGAGAATCACATAACCAACTGCCTTATAGAGCAGTCATCAACTAATAAGAATTTAAAGGGTTAAATACACTGCTCTTCAAAGTATGCATTTTGTTTCATTTTGATCCTCAATATTTCAATTGTTTTAATTTAAATCCCCATCTTATCTAATTCGTGGTGTTTCACTTTCACTCAATGCTTTTGAAATGGATCACAGGTATGAGGACAAGACCGAATGGGGGGATAGAGTTGGCTGGATCTATGGATCAGTGACAGAAGACGTGGTCACAGGTTACAGGATGCACAACCGCGGGTGGCGATCTGTCTACTGCATCACAAAAAGAGACGCCTTCCGTGGCACTGCACCAATCAACCTTACTGATCGTCTCCACCAAGTGCTCCGGTGGGCCACTGGTTCTGTTGAAATTTTCTTCTCCCGAAACAACCCCCTTCTGGCAACCCGCCGCCTCAAGTTCCTCCAACGCATAGCATACTTCAACGTCAGCGTCTACCCATTCACCTCCATCTTCCTCGTCGTCTACTGCTTCCTCCCTGCTCTATCCCTCTTCACTGGCCAGTTCATCGTACGAAGCCTAAACGTTACCTTTCTCATATTCCTCTTGATCATCACGATCACACTCACTCTACTTTCTCTCCTCGAAGTCAAATGGTCTGGCATTGCACTCGAGGAATGGTGGCGTAACGAGCAGTTTTGGGTCATCGGTGGATCTAGTGCTCACATTGCCGCGGTCATCCAAGGTCTCCTCAAAGTCCTAGCCGGTATTGAGATCTCATTCAAGCTGACCGCAAAGTCTGCTGCTGAAGATGAAGACGACATCTACGCTGATCTCTATGTTGTCAAATGGACAAGTCTGTTTATAATGCCGCTTACGATCATTGTGGTCAATCTTGTCGCCATTTTCATGGCATTTGCGAGGACTGTGTATAGCGTTATGCCCCAATGGAATAAGCTTATGGGTGGAATGTTCTTCAGCTTCTGGGTGCTGGCTCATATGTACCCATTTGCCAAAGGATTGATGGGGAGGAGTGGAAGAGTGCCCACCATTATTTATGTATGGTCTGGGCTTGTTTCAATTACTGTGTCTTTGCTGTGGATATCTATCAGTCCTCCAGGTAATTCTACTGCTTCTGGTGGATGAGGGAATGTTTCTGTATAAGGTTTTGGACCCAAAAAAAAGTGTTTTGAGACTTGTTTTTTGTAATTAATTAAGATGCAAAATGTAAAATCTAAAAATGTTCTTCCATATGTGTACTGCTAAATCGTGCATTCAATTTCTCCAAGAACTACATTACCATGAAAGACCACAAATTGTGTAGTATTAGATGAAAGAATTTTGTTATTGTTTTATACGTGTGTATATTTGTTATTTGTTCTTTGTTTATAAATAATTATTAAGGAAATGATAAAGATAAATAATATTATTATGCATACAGTCTATAGGGAAATAGCACCTGTAATGTCTTTAGCTCAGCCAGTGTCAGTTTGGTCATTATAGGCAAGCAAGGGTGTCAGGGTGGTGAAGAGAGCCCGCCGTAATTTTATTGTAACACTTAAATCTCTAGATTTTATATCATATTGTAATTTTTGACGGATGTAACAGAAGTAATAAAAAAGTCATAAACGCTCCTAAATATTTTACATCCAGTCGTCTCTCAACTTCTCTCTTTCTTCTCTGTTTTTCATTTTTTTTTTTTTCGAATTCAAATTCCATCAACTTCAATCTGTGATAGCATTGAGCAATTCGATTTGAATTACAGTATTTACATAGCTTATGCTTGATAAGGGTTGATTGCCCAAGCAACCCATCTTGAAGATGTGATTTGGGTGTGTCTGTTGGAAAATGGTTTGTAAAACCATGAGTTTTGGCCAAGTTTGAGCCTAATTTGAGATGGGATCCGAACACTGATTGAGGTGTATCCTGGTGGAAACGCGTTCTATGCCTAGTGGTGGTGGTGATTCACGTCGTATATATGATCGTTCAAAATCATTTTCTGAGTGAATGCGAAATTGACTCCACCTTTTCTGAGTGAATGCGAAATTGACTCCGAAGGTGGTTTCGGCAACAAAGTGGTTGAACGTATTCAAAATCGAATTCATCTCTAGTTTCGTCCAGAAACTCTGAAGGTTCCAAATGGAAAATCAATTTTGATTTGGTTTCTTCTCCTTCTAGGAGTATTTATCAAATTTTTGATAGAAGTTAATATGGTGAAGGTCGATTTAATAGCCAATTTTAAAACGTGTGTTCACCGCATTTTAGGCAAATTCTCAAAGGCGAACCGTGGAAATTCAAACAGATCTGTGGCTGGTAGAACCGCCATCTCAAAGTCTAGAAATACCCCACTCATCCTGAGTTGTAAGATATAGAAATTCAAGTCGAATTACAATAAAAAAGAGTCGAATTCGCGTTGAATTTTTTCCGAAATTTGTTGCTCTGTTTTTCTTCTTCATCATTCAAGTTCGAGTTTTTTGAGTCAGAGAGAGTGCTTTGGTTTGCCATATCTGGATCGTTGTCCTGTAGTCTTGGATTATAGTCGCTGTATATGAGAGAGAGAGAGATGATGATGATTATGATGTTTGGTTGGAAGGAAAGTTAGATGTAATGAGGAATAGAGGGTGTTCTGCTCATCTCTCATATGGTTTTGACGGGAGAAACTGCTATACTTAATCTTTATGATCGTGCTTCCAACACACTCGGTTCAAATAAACAGTTCTGCTAGAAATCATAGGCCATGTTTGATTCACAATACTAATAGTGAGGTATTAATAATCCTATCAAATTAGTGTGGTATTAACTATCCCACCCCTACCCCATTACTAATTATCCTACAAATTTGTTGGATTAATTATCCATTGGATTAATAGTCCTAAACCAAATGTCAAAACAAACATAGGATGGTTGGGCCCACGGATTAATAATCCTAATCCCATACTTTAATCCTTCCAATCAAACATGCCCATAATGTAATATGAAATTTATGAAATTTAAGTGTTAAAATTATATGACTTGTGTTTTTGGGTAAACCACAAGGTTCAAACTGTTATTTACTCTATCACTTTTTATTTATTTTAATTTTTTTAATCTTTTCACTATTTTCAAAATATTTTTTACACACTTCTTAACTAAGGTTATAATTTTGGACGGACTTAACCAGAGTTTAGCCATAAATTTTTTAGGAGTTGGACATAAATATGGAATAAATTAAATTCATTAGGTAGAAACACCAAACAAATTGAAGCTAAAATTGAATATATGTAAATATATAAGGATAAATTACACTGATACCCCCTGAAATTTTTGTTTAATACAGATTTCTTCTCACATTTGAAAAATTATATTCCTCTCCTTGAGGTTTGTAATCTCATTACAAATTATCCCCTGTATTGTTAATGTCATATCCTAAAATTTTCTAAATGATCATCTTGCTTTTTTTTCCCTACCATTTCTTCTTCCTTTCATCATGACTACATCGTACAACTTTTCATCATTAAATTCTACTTGAAGATATTCTTATTGAGTGATGATACACAAATATAAATTTTATATAGAATTTTCAAACACAATGATATAGTTTAATAATGACCTTTCACTTTAAAATAAAACACCTATAAACATGATTTATATTTACAAGAATATCACTATCACAATATTTTTATGATATTTTTTTGTATAAATTTTTATATATGAATATAGTTTTTCAATTTTATTTCTACCATTATATCTAGATTAGACCAATTTAATCTAGATATATTTAAAAAGTATAAAGATCGTATAATTTTTTTTTAAAAAAAATCTATTGAATATAACAAAGTAAGATAATGTATTAAATTATTTTTTTTTTTTGTATTTGGGGAATTTTGAAAGAAAATTATAAAATATTATACTTCTTAAGTATATCTAGATTAGGTGTATCTAAAAAATACAAAAATTGCTTAAAATATTAAAAAAAAAATAAGTAAAAATTTTTTTTTTAAAAAAACACAAAAAATAAGAATTGTGTGAGTTAAATCAAAGAAGATGATTGCTATTTCCTTTGAAATTAGATGAACAAAATATCTGCATTGTTTTATTATTTTATATATATAAAAGCTAAGGGGCAAGTATATGTCATTCTAATTTGATGGGAGATAAGTATAATTTTTCAAATGTAAGGGGGGATTTGTAATAAACGAAACCTTAGGGGGTGTTGTGTAATTTACCCAATATATAAAGATATTAAAAAACTGTTTGAAAATTGACTATTTTAATTATTTTTTGGCTTCTTATGAAAAGATATGTAAAAAAATAAAGATAGTGATATGATAACTTGTAATGGCTTTTTGACTATTTTATCTCCTTTCCAAACAAGACATATATATATATATATATATATAAGTTATTAGGCCATCTACAACTGTTCACCAAATCCATCATCAAATTCAAATTTGGTGAAAAAGAGATACTTTTTGTGCTCCAACGGTTTCACCAAAACGGTATCAAATTGAGAATGCCCCAAAATTTTCACCAAATTGAACATGTTTTGTACCTTTCAGCAATTTACTATGCATAGCTGTTAAGTGTGACCCACCGGACAACCGGCTAGATGTCTAGTCAAATGTCCTCCGAATGACCACCTCAAGCAAAATTTTGGAAAAATTTTATACTGAGAGGTCGACCCCCCAGTTGGCCCCAAAAAAAGACCAACAGTATACCTTGGTAACAAAGCTGACGAAGAGATCAAAAATCAACCAAACAAACACATATAAGTCTCCATAATTATGTATAATCAAAATCCCAAAAGCAGAAACTCCCTTAAATCCGAAATTGATCAACCAAAACTGAATCTTTCTTTCTAATTTTATAAATTTTCACTCAAGTTTGATGTAGTGAAGAAAAAGAAGGAAGGAGTTAATGCTAGTATGGTAAAAATGGTTCGTCTGTAAAGGGATTATAAAGAGAGAAACAGAGTGAGTGAGACAATAACACTCAGTTTGATGCAAACACAGAGTCGCTGAAGCTTCGTTGCCGACCAGACAGTTGGGAGAGAGATTTTGACAGAAAATTCCAAAGAAAATTTGTTTGGAAAAAGGGGAGAGAGAGAGAGAGAGAGAGATTTTGGGAAGAGAATAGTGGGTGTGAGATGATTTTTGTATTGAAAGCTTTCAAACACAACATAACAACCCCAATTGTTTTAGAACAGGTTTTTCATTTTTTTGCATTGACCGGTCGACCGGTGATTTGATGAAAAGTCAAAATCCTCCATTGGAGCATGCAATATCAAATAGAGGAAATTGTTTTTTTTTTTACTCAAATTTTATGAAAAAATCTGGTGAATCGTTGGAGATGCTCTTAGTAGTTGAATGATGTTAAATTAATTTGGATCATTAAATAATATTCAAGTAAATTACAAAATCTCATTGATCCCTTCATTTTCAGTGTAACAATCAACCATTTACACTTTAAATCAAATTTCAATCTTACCCTTTCATCCATATACCCATAATAAAACTAATAGAAACTGGAAGTGGATGGACTTAATTGAGATTTTTGTGAAAGTGTAAGGCCTAAAGTGAAAGTTTAATAAAAGTGTAAGAGTGTTAATGAGACAACAAAAATGTCACACATGCTTCAAATGACAAGTTTCGTCAACTTCATGAACAGTGGATAGAAGGGTGAAATTACAATTTAACTTAAAGTGTAAGACGTTAATTGTTACAATTGAAAATAAAAAGACTAAAATGTGCTTTGATAAAAGTACAAGAGTGCTAAATGTAATTAACCCATAATATTCACTATAGTGTATATATATATATTTAGCGTAAGTACTAGATATTATATACTTAAGTAATATAATATAAAAACTCATCATTTTTTTCTCATTCAAAAATTACAAAAACCATAGTAGTGGTGCATCGACTCCTCAATTCTCATCTTTCTCATATTATATAAATTATTTGTTTTAATTTTATTAATGATTTTACTTAAAAAATGTTAATAAAGTATACTTTTAACAAAGGATAAAATATATTGATAGTCCTTACATTTTGCACTTTTCATTAGCTTAATTATGACCTTTAATTTTTTTTAATTTTTTTTTTTGTCCATTTAGTCTAATTAGGGTTTTTGAAGGAAAACAATCACTAAATTGATTGAAGTTAACCCATTGAGTTAAATAAGTTAACAATTTTGTTTAGAAAAGTATAACACAAGCCGCTTATGTGCATATATATATATATATATATATATAATAAAAAGCACTAACAATTGTAATCAATTAGACTAAATTGAAGCACAATTATAAATTTAAGGTTAAAATTGAACCAATTGAAATTTATAAAGACCAAAATGATACAAGGGTGAAAATATAGGGACTACCTGGATAATTTGTTATTTGACAAATTAATCAACCTAGTTAAAAAAAGGGAGAAAAAAAAAAAACTCAATTTTATGGGCAATTAAGGTAAGTCAAACCTAATTGAAGTCGAACTTGAGTAACTTTCAGCACAATTCGAACAAAGCATGAACAATCTTTTATCAACCCACCCAAATCTGTTCAAATTGCATCATATTCTCAAATGCAAACAATTTGTTGTGGTTTTCAAAAAATCGTAAAACTCTCTCTTGTTTTTCTCTTTGGTATTTCCAACAATGGAAGAGGGAGACGGTGGTGGTTATCTTCAATCTTCTCCCTCCAGATCTAGTCTTTAACTTAGATATTATTTTTGCCTCACTAGTTCGACTATCACCTCCTTATCTTTTTCACCCTTGAGCCCAACACTTTAAGATCTGCCTTCAAATCTTTTCAGAGTTCAATAATCGACGTTGGATAACGTGTTTCTTTCATGATAGGTGATGTGGGTGTTGATTTTCGACCTCACAACCAAACAGGAAACTTAGCTGGAGAGCACGTGACTGAATAGATTAAACCAATCACCTGCTAACAAAAGATAAGAATACCACGGTGGCTCGTTTACCCGAGGGAACTCTGACGATCAAATCAGTCAACTTATCTCTCGAAGATATCTAACTAATGGCACAATTCTCAATTAAAGTGTACCTTAAACCTCTAGAGGTGCCTCACTTTTATAGCTAACAGTGCCCTCGTTTTCGAGAAGTTGAACTTCATAGAATTCAAGCACAATACTTATCCCGAACTCTTAATTAGATATAGATGAACTCCTCAAGAGCCTCATCTGTATCTAAACTAAGTGCCTCATCTTATCTAGGACTCTTATGCTCTATCCAAATATCTCAGATTTTGATATGGTAGTATCATATCTCGATAACTTAGTTCATTCGCATGGCACCTATAAGGCCCCAACTTCTAGGCCATTAATAAATCAACTCAGCTTCAAATTTAAACCTCTAACTAATTAATAACCTAAAAAAAAACACAAATTTATCTCCAAAATAATTACACAAATGTATCCAAAATGTATCTTATATAAATCCCAATAAATAAATAAATAATAATAATAACGTATAATGGTGACCCCAAAATATCTAACTCTAATAATCTCTTTAGAACTTCAAATCCAATCTCCACTAAATTGTTCCGCACTTGAAAAATAAAATTAATATGGAAAGTATACAATGCGACATGAATGACAAAGCTCGGACAAATAATAAATTCACAGGGATCCAATAATTACACAAATGATTCAATTCGAGATACCAAGCAATTTACTAAATTGCATAAACAAGTCAACTCGACATATGATAATTTATCCAGGATCAAATACCCTGTCCTACTTAGTTCATAACCAATGACCGGCCTCACTCCCCTCACCCAAGCACAACCGCTTATCCGGGTTATTGGTACAGAGCATATTGGCAAAGTCCACTCGATCTATGTACGAAACATTTTCACGTCATTTAGCCGACAAATCAATATTTTCAACACAGAATAGGTACACAGAGTTTATCAAATGACTAGAGTAATCAAACGAATCAACAATGAATAATTCCATAGAATTTATCAAATTTTCAAAATCATCAAGAGGAGTACAAATTGAAGGTGATTAAAAAAATGTTGTTTGCAAAGAGATTTAAATGAAGCATATTGTATACCACATGAATTACCTCAAATCAATCTCCTCCGTTGCCAACACTATAATCTCGATATTTCTCTATGGATATCCAAAAATAACTCAGATGTTACTTTGATAAAATCTACAACTCTCATCTGCTATATCACCAAGGCGAAACCGAAAACCACTTAAAGATTGAAATTAAAAGGACCATTTCGGATTTTTCCCGAACTCGGCCTTCCTATGGTTCGTAGAGAATTTCATCTAGTTTTCAAAACATCTTTCGGAAATAGAATAGTTTTTCTAGATTTTTAGTTATTTAAGAAACACTCCAGCGATGTTCGGATTCGTCGACCGTTAGAAAATTAGATTGTCTTTCAAACCGCTCACTCTTTTCTAATGAAACTAATTTTCCTTGAAAGCTAACTCTTTAAGGAAGTTTTTGACATAAAACCAATGTCCATATGATTTTTCTATATGTTTCTAGAATTTTTGAAAGTTGGCTATAAAATAGATTTTTCATGCATAATACTCAAAATAAGAAGATTAGTGAGAAAAGAGGCCAACTAGGCCCCAATTTGGTTTTCATCCCAGGTTAAAAAATCAAAAAAGGACAAAAAAAAGTCAAAAAATCACAAAAGGACAAAAAAAAATTGTCATTCCAAAGCCAAAAAGCCAAACAAGAAAACCAAACAAACAAAAAAGTCTCAAGCTAAAAAAGTCAAAAAAGCCAAAAAGCCAACTAAAAAAGTCATTGCCAAACGACCTAATGGAAATTTTTCACTTCTTTTATGATGGAAACGTACTAAAGAATATATCAATAACTCAAATTTTTAGGGTGATGGTCTGCCTTTAGAAATAATGTGAGCTATGGGAAGGAAAAGGTAGTTTTGCATTTATTAAGAGGGAATACGAATGGAAGAAGGATTAAAGCCTAATCCATCAACTTTGAACACATGAAAACCATTACAACACATTTGAAATATGATTTTAAACCTCTAATACCATGTATTTGAAAAAGGAAATAGAAGGAGAGATGGTAATGTGGCTTACTTAAGGTTCGGTTGAATTGGAAGCAAACTTCCTCTTTCTCTCTTATCTTCCACCAAGCTCACTCTCCTTCCTCTCTTTTCTTCTTAGCCAAATGTAGTGTGTATGTGTGTGTTCTTGTATGTAAAATGCTAAGGGAGGGGTTGCTTTTATAGAAAAATTGGTGTAAAAGGTCTAAAATGCCCTTTGGTTGGAATTGAATGAGATGTTCTGCATTTAGTTTGAATCCAATGGAATAGTGAAAGTTTAGAGGCCTTAATTAGGTTCCTAAACATGATTTAGTTAGGGTTTTCCTCTTAATCAAACCAACCTAATTATATATATACATGTATATATAAAAGTTTGTACCAAGTCAAAGATATTTTCCTTAAATCATGCAAAATTGTCTCAAAGTACATTCATTACACCTACAAGGTGATGGCCGGCCATGTGATGGCGAATTGATGGACTTGTTTTATATATATACTAGGGTATACCCGTGCCTGAAGGCACGATGACCATTAATTGAATATAAAATTATTGGGTTAAAATATCTATGTATATGTGTGTAATGGTACTTGTTTGGCGTTTAATGTGATTCAAGAAAAATGTGAGGGCTTAGGCTCAATTAAAATATCTTTTTCAAGTATAGAGTTAATAAATTAGTATTAGGAAAAATAATTCGGTTTGTATTATCTTGCTTTGAATTTAAAGGTGAATAACCGAACGAAAACTGTGAAAACTGGAAGTTAAAGTTTAGAGAGATTAATCTAAAATTTGAGACTTAAATAATTAATATTAGAGTGTTAGAAATAATTTCTAAGCTTCCAGGATCGATTAGGGTTTGTATGGATTCGTCTATGATGCGTTTTCAGTTCTAGGGTTTAATTTGCGAATAAACAACAAATTAAGGACTTTATTATAATAACTCAAAATTTAGGGACCTAATAGGGTTTACTAAAGTTAGGGGTCTCGAAGCACCTTAACTAACAACCTTAGCCACATGGACAACCCTATAAATATGTCCTCCACAGGTGACCACCTGAACTTCAATATATCTTAACCAAGAGAGATGGAACTTTTTGATTTAAATTGAAAGTTTGAATACTTAGATCTAATATTTTTTATTTATTGATTGATTTTTTTTAAATTTTAATTTATTGATAAAACAATCATTTTTGTGTAGAAGTTTGTTTTCCTCTCTTGTGGGTTTTTTTTTTTTTCTTCTTCTATGGAGGCTTGAATCCTTTATTTTATAGAAATTGTTTATTATTTTAAATTGTATTAAATTGATCCGATCTTTTATTAATTTCATAATGAAAATTTCTTTCTAAGAAATTTTTTTCACTAGAGTTGCCATTTGAGAACAATTTTTTTTGTCTAAATAAATACAAAAAGATAAAATAGACTAAATAAATTAATAAAATAAAATATCACATTTAAATTTTAATTATTTTATTTTTTCTCTCACAACCCTCACATATAAATTAAAAAAAATTAAATTTCTTTTTAAAATAAAACTAATTTAACAAATTTAAATTAGTAAAAAAAAATTAAACTAAATTAATTTTTCCAAACGAAACCAAAATCTCCAATATCCGAGTGGTGATTCATCCCACTAATTTTTGGACCACTAATAGCTCTAATGAGCTTAAAAAAAAAAAAAAAAAACAAACTCAAACCAAAACATCACATCACTTTGATGGGGACTACTGTGCCACATCATTAGTGATACTCTAGAGCTCCCAATTTAGTGCTCTAAAACATTATTCCTCCAGTATTACTAACGAAACCGTTCAGAAATCAGGTGGGTCCAAACCTCAACACTGTAACGGAAAAATTCAAAAAAGAACCGCGTGAATGCTTCTGACAACATTTCACATATACCTTCCACAAATTCTCTCTCTCTCTCTCTCTCTCTCTCACAATTCTCCGACTATAAATAAACCAAGCTCACATAACGTACGTATGTAAATACATATATATATACACACACATATATAAGCAGTAGTCTTCTATGACCCTTGCCGATCGTTCTTCTTTCCGCCCAAATATAAACACCGCAAATCCAGCTTCTCTCTCTCTCTCTCATCCCATTTTTTGTTTCCCTTTCTCTCTCTGCGTTCTTCAAGTTTTAGGGTTAGGGTTTTGAGGAAGAAATGGGCCAACAGTCGCTGATCTACAGCTTCGTCGCTCGAGGTACCGTGATCCTCGCCGAGTACACCGAGTTCACCGGCAATTTTACCAGCATCGCTTCCCAATGTCTCCAGAAGCTTCCCGCTAGCAACAACAAGTTCACCTACAATTGCGATGGCCATACCTTCAACTATCTCGTTGAAAATGGATTTAGTGAGTAATTCATTTCTCGGATTTATCGATTTTGTCTTGTCTATGTGTTTGATCAATTGGTATCGATCGAAATTTTTTATGTTGGTAAATCTCGTTTGATTGTTGGGTGTTGTTTGTTTTTCCATATGTTCATTTGGGTTGGTTGCGGATGCAAAAAGTTTGCATTGGATTTTGAATTCAAGGGTAATCTTTTTTGGGTTATTCAGATGATGAGTGGATTATGAAATATAAGAATCAAGGCTTCATGGGGATGATATAATGATAGAATTGTACAGATTGCTTGGTTTTTAATTACTTGTTTGGAAAAAAGGGTAGGAATTTTTTTTTTTTGAAGGAAGGGGAAGGGGTTGTGGGCCATTGTTTGCTCTGTTGTTGTCTCGACAATCCCATTGTCATATGTTCTGAAGGGCCCACAGAGAACAAGAGAAACTAGAAGGGAAAGAATTAGAACAACATATTGACAGACCAATGTTGTTGCAGGGGTTGAAATTACGTACCACATAAATTTTGAGAAAAAGTAGCGAGATTCTATTTTTTCAGAATTTGTTGAATTGATGTATCCTTAATGTAGGATATACATTTGTTCCATGTCTGTATCTATATTTTCTGTGAAGTAAAGATACATGAGAAAATATAATGGTACTAAAATTGAAATTCAACAGTTAAATATGCAAATAAAACTTGCATATAACACTTTTACATGTAACACAAGGGCAGTATAAACCATTAGACTTGACATTGAGTAACTTTATGTTGGATGTTGGACAGCCTACTGTGTTGTTGCGATTGAGTCTGCTGGAAGACAAATTCCTATTGCCTTTTTGGAGCGAGTTAAGGAGGATTTCAGCAAGAGATATGGTGGAGGGAAAGCTGCAACTGCTGTTGCCAAGAGCCTGAACAAAGAGTTTGGGTATCTTTTCTTGTCTTTCTTGAAAGAGGAAAAATTTTGCTGCCTTTCTTTGTAGTACTTGACTTTGTTTTTTTATGTTTTTTTCACTGTTGTAGGTCTAAATTAAAGGGGCACATGCAGTATTGTGTGGATCATCCTGAGGAGATAAGCAAGCTTGCAAAGGTGAAGGCTCAGGTTACTGAAGTCAAGGGAGTGATGATGGAAAACATTGAGAAGGTAAGGAGGTTTTGTTTGGGGTTGTCTCTTAATTATGAGCAATGTGATATGTCTTTTTGTTTTATTTTACCTTGCCGTATAAGATTTCCCATTTGGCAACACTTTAAAGCTAGTTTTTTAGATTATGATTGTTTACATTATTGGCGTAAAAGCTTTGAATAAGTTGTAAACATGTTTGGTACAACCTTTTGTGTAACAAATTAAAAAGCTAAAATTGTCTGGCAAATAGCAAACAAGTGGCGTGTATTGAGAGTGTGTGGTGTGTAAATAGAAGCTCCCAAAAAGGACCCCTGGACCAGCTTCAAATAATCCAGTTCTTTGAAGCCAAAAAGGCTAGAGAAGCATTTAAGTTGGTAGCCAATAATTGCCACCAAACGGCCAAATTGTACTTTTTTAAGCTATAATCTAGATAAATTCACATATAAGTGCCAACAATAGGCTTTTGTAGTTATGACCTTGACAAATAATTTATGTAACTCACATCAGATATGACTACAGGATTATATTTATTTCAATAGTCTGTAATTTCAATTATCATTCTATACTTGCATTAACTAAAAAATATAGTGTCTTAGAGATTTGCTTTGAATGTGAAAATTTATCAGTTAATATCCAATTTATTTGTTTTTCGAACTTTACTATATGAAAAAGAAATGAAGTATATACTTTCCAAATTGAGACTACATTGATGTGTAATACTATTTAATTTGTTAAACTTTTGTAATAACCAAGAGTTATGTACTTTTGTTTTATAAATTTGGAATTTACTATTTCTATAGTAGTTTTAGCTGCACCCACAGTTTTTATGACTTGCTTTCTCATTTTTGACGCCGTGAATAGGCCATAAAGGCATTGAATATAGGCTTCCATCAAGGTTAGAATATTGCTTTGGCTCCCTGAGAATGAATTTCTCATTTTTGGAACTTAATCGGTTCTAAGAAGCATGATGCTTCTATGAATACTTATTTCTGATAATCAATGAGTGAATAGTGATGGCCCTATGATCTTGACGTTAGATGCATGAATAAAAAATTGCACCCTTTATTTTGTAATGCTTGGTATGTGGTGTGTTTTAGTTAAAGAAATTTGTGTTTTGTTTAGGTTCTTGACCGTGGGGAGAAGATTGAACTGCTGGTTGATAAAACTGAGAACCTTCACTCTCAGGTCAGTCTAAGGCAAACTGGATAACATTTTTGTGTTAGTTTGACTGTAATTGTTGCATTTGCATGACCCCTAACTATTCATCTGTACGATCGATCTTCTTGAAGCCATGGGAGTGTTGGATGAAATTTGGAGTGGTTTTACAGGAAGGCTGATGCATGTGGGGAGGTGTTTCTAAATGAGCATAAATTACACTAACCTCCTCGGAAGATGTGTTTATTGTACATGCTATTCCTTGATGTTTGGAGATTAAACTGTACTCCCCTCTACTTTGAATTGAGTGGAATTTCCTTTGATTCATGGAATATTATGAACTGCAGCGAGATGAAAGATGTTGATGTGATCATTTAGGTTATGCACAAACTTAATCAAGATAAAGAAATCGATTATGGCCTTAGTTGAATTATGCAGTTAAATAATACAAAGTGAGCCATCATAACTTGCCAGATCGGCATATCACCACCTGTTATTGAGAAGCTCTCTTGCTGCTATTGGATCCACAGTTGCTAGCCCCAGTGAAGCTCGGCCAACTTGAATCATCACCCTTCAATTCTACAGTAAATCTCCATTTTGTGAGATATGTTCCATAACTATCAAAACATTTGTCACTAAACCCTGAATAATATTTCCACCATTGCTCTTCTTGCTCCAATCCCCCTTGATTTATTTATTTGTTTTTTCTGATGCCTTGCTACTTTACCTATTTATAAACCCGAAAACTTGGATTAGGTCTTATGATTTACACCACTGTGGCCTTACTATTTTGGTTTGTTTCCCTACTTGCATCTTTGAAGAGGTGAACGGAAACCACTTATTCTTAACAAATTCACCTGAATGGAAGTTAAACTGGATTATTTCTTCCATCGCTACATCAACAAATTAGTGCTATGTTTGTTTAACTGGACCCACTTATCTTATTTATTACTTGGCAACTCCTTACCTAAGTTACCTTCAGGCACATAAATGGAGAGACTCCTCTGTCTCTTCTTTATTTTGTTCCAAAATCTCCATTTACATTCGAAGGCATATAACTCACCCTTATTTTTTCAAACTTTCATATTGATTGATCACATGATTGCATTTGGTTTGATGTACACATTAATCTCTCAAAGTCGCCATGATGTTTGATGTTGATGAAATCGTGATTGTTTGGTAATCATTGGCAGTAGTCATAGATGAAGATGATGGTTGAAGCTTTGTTACACGTACTTGGGTATGAGTGTCAGATACGAGTATGTGTCTAGGTGTCAAAGTTGCCTATCCCAGAAAATATATGATACAAGAACTTGGCTAAAAAGTGTTGAAAATTTAGATACGGGTACGGGGACACTGTAGCACAATCAAATATTGAACAAGTATTTCACACATCTTTATTACCTAATTTAAGTACATCCTCAATACTTACAATAATTCCCAAATTTCAAAACTATATATTCAATATATTATGATCAATATATTCAATATAGTCAAAGGTAAAACACAGTAAAGTATATTACTGGAGCCTAGTTATTAAGGTAAGAGGAATACCTAATAGTGTCAACACAATTTACACGGTCAACATTTCAGCTGCACAATTCCTTTTGAATGTCAGTCCAGGTTGCATTTGATGAGATAAATGAAGAACTATATATTAAATCATTAACGCTATGTTTGGTTGGGGGATTTGGAAAAAGAAAGAAAAAAGGTGTGTGAAACTAAATAAAATGTAGGTATATTTCATTAATATGTTACCTACCTTTTCTCTTTCTCTTTCCAAATCTCCCAACCAAACACAGCGTAATTGGGCGTAAGAGAAGGTTATAGAGACTTACTTGGTCAAGCAGATAATATCCATGACTTTGAACTACAATTCTTTCATATTATTATTGAAACATGTTGTGATGTTTGTGATACTATTTCTTAGAAATACACTTAGTATTTAGTATTGCTTTTATCATTAATGGCTTCAGCCTTTTCCCATTCATGTCCTTCCCTTTCTGTACATTTTCCCCCTCATTTGATGCACTTTTATTTGACGCGGATTTGATTTTTGGTTGTTGATATTGATTGTATTTCAGGCACAAGATTTTAGGCAACAAGGAACTAAGATAAGGAGAAAGATGTGGTTTCAGAATATGAAGATAAAATTGGTTGTTTTGGGAATCATCATTGCGTTGATTCTCATCATTATTCTGTCTGTCTGCGGTGGCTTCAAATGTACTTGATTAGGATGGTCCTGCATGATCGGCCGTTTGTTCTATTCTATTCCAACATTCCATTTTGCAGATTTATTGCTCTAGGTTACACCTTCCTTTCTTTGCAGCCCTTTTTAAAGGAAGGACCAGTAGTTTGAAGGGGTTGTATAGGTTGATATGTAGGAATTTTGTTATCTTGATGTAGAAAAATCTTGATGCATTAGGGTTTGTTTTTACATATCTTGGGAAATTTTCTTGAAATGTAATGGAGGATTATTTGGATGACTACTAATATTGTTGACCCTTTGAATTTTTATTGCATCTGTTTTTGCCGCTTTTTGAAAAGTTTGTGAATACAAAGGGGAACTCATTATTGTCAACTTTAGGTGGTCTTTTCCATTTGATTGAGACATAAGGTGTAGTTGAATTTGGTTGGTATATAAAGTTGATGAAAAAATAAATTGACTTGGATTTTCATTGATGAAGATGTTTCATAGTATTACAGTTATTGGCATTTGCATTTCTCTATGACCTGCTTGTAAGAAATGGCTATGTCGTTGATGGTTAATGATTGGCAACAAGAGTGGACGTACTCATGTGATTTTCAGGTAAGATGGTATCTTAATCCTGGAAGAACAGGCACGCGTGCACACATATATATATATATATATATTGTAACGCTCTAATTTTCATACCCGAATGACAATATAATAATCATGGCCCTTTTTAAGAAAAACCAATTATACAATCCCACACTTGCATTTCATAATGTAAATAGCTCATCATACGATGATACAATTAATCTAACAGCAAGTAAATAAACAAATAAATACTCTAAAGGGTTTACAAGTTTCTAAGGTTTAAGTCCGGTTACACATAACGGTTATTCAAATCCACACAAATATAGTCCTTTGCTTACATAATAGAGTCACGCAAAATGAGAGCATTGTACTCTCAACACACACACTTCCACACCTTCAGTTAGGCGGAATCATCACATCTTTTCCTACACAAAAATCCCGTAGGGTGAGCATAAAGCCCAGTAAGAAATTCTTAACAAAGTATATACATTTTATACACGTCTCGTGAGATGAAATGCTTATGTCATGTCATGCCTTTTTGAAAGTAAAATACACCTTTATCTTTTGAAAACCAACATGTTCAATAATGTCATGCAATTTCAACATTTATCAAATTTTATTTGATGGGCGGTAAATACAACTTCGTAAATCCCTAAGTCTGTGTCTGCAAGTAGACAATAAAAGTATTACCAATTTTTCATTTTTACCAGTATCAACTGGAGGGCTCGACACCCATAATTTGTCATTTTTAAAAATGTTAACTGGAAGGCTCGACACCTATCCTCTATACTACCTTTCGAGACTTATCACTGTATTCACCCCAAAAATCAATTCATGAAAACTTGTTTCTCAATATTCTTTACTCAATGCAAAGTTTTCAAATCAAATTTCAAAATTCTTTATTATCAATGAATTGATATACCAATGTATCAATTAATGCAATGCAACATTTTATCCATTTTCAATTCTTCCACACGATATTTCCATTGTGGTCAAAGTTTCCATTTCTCCTTTCAATACAATTTCACAAGATGAATAAATACATTTATTTCTATTCATCCAAGGGATATATAATTCCCGCATTTCAAGCAATCTCAACAATTCCCATATTCCATGAAAACATCATTTATATGTATATAAATAAGAGATTTTCCAACATCTATTTATTTTGACATACAAAATAAATATAACAACATCATCCATGATTTTTCAACATCTTTTTAAAACTCCTATTTTCTAGGTTTTCTTACTAAAACAATCCATCTCCAAAACATTTGAAGAAATCTCACTAAAAACATCTTTCTTTAATCAACATAGCTCAAAACCCCAAATTTCTATCGCAAAGGATCAAATAGTAAACCCACTTTCAAAATCACTCTTTTTCTTGAATCAACAATAATTTTTCAAAACTTAATAAATGATGATTTCTAAAATCATCTAGATCTTGCAAATATATATATAACTCAAAGAAAATCCCTACCTTAAGTGTAGAAGACGGACAAACAAGATCGAAACTCCAAAGATGACGAAACCAACTCGTACTTGGATCAACACGAAACTCTTGAAGCCCTCTACCTTATTCTCAAAGAAACTAGGGTCAAGAACATAACAGATCTAGATGACATCTTAGAGAGAAGGAGTATTCTAGAGAGAGAGAGTATGTAAACCTGCGTTTTTGGAGAGTTTTTGAGAGAGAGTGAGCTATAAAAGTGTTCTGAAATATCTCCTTCGTGATCTGATATAAACAGGCTCCCTCGAGCGAAGAAGTTGTCCCTCGAGCGACTAGACACAAGAAGTCGCCTCATTGGAGCGCAAGAAATGTCGCTCGAGCGTAGAATGCAAAGCTTCAGGTTTGTCACCAACGCAGACGCACGCTCAAGCACAAGAAGTCTCGCTCAAGCGAAGAAACAATTTCACAAGGCTCACTCGAGCGCAAGAATCCTCGCTCAAGTGACGAAGCAGATTACACAAGGCTCGCTCGAGCGCAAGAAGCCTCGCTCGAGCGACTTGGATTAGGTCTTATGATTTACACCACTGTGGCCTTACTATTTTGGTTTGTTTCCCTACTTGCATCTTTGAAGAGATGAACGGAAACCACTTATTCTTAACAAATTCACCTGAATGGAAGTTGAACTGGATTATTTCTTCCATCGCTACATCAACAAATTAGTGCTATGTTTGTTTAACTGGACCCACTTATCTTATTTATTACTTGGCAACTCCTTACCTAAGTTACCTTCAGGCACATAAATGGAGAGACTCCTCTGTCTCTTCTTTATTTTGTTCCAAAATCTCCATTTACATTTGAAGGCATATAACTCACCCTTATTTTTTCAAACTTTCATATTGATTGATCACATGATTGCATTTGGTTTGATGTACACATTAATCTCTCAAAGTCGCCATGATGTTTGATGTTGATGAAATCGTGATTGTTTGGTAATCATTGGCAGTAGTCATAGATGAAGATGATGGTTGAAGCTTTGTTACACGTACTTGGGTATGAGTGTCAGATACGAGTATGTGTCTAGGTGTCAAAGTTGCCTATCCCAGAAAATATATGATACAAGAACTTGGCTAAAAAGTGTTGAAAATTTAGATACGGGTACGGGGACACTGTAGCACAATCAAATATTGAACAAGTATTTCACACATCTTTATTACCTAATTTAAGTACATCCTCAATACTTACAATAATTCCCAAATTTCAAAACTATATATTCAATATATTATGATCAATATATTCAATATAGTCAAAGGTAAAACACAGTAAAGTATATTACTGGAGCCTAGTTATTAAGGTAAGAGGAATACCTAATAGTGTCAACACAATTTACACGGTCAACATTTCAGCTGCACAATTCCTTTTGAATGTCAGTCCAGGTTGCATTTGATGAGATAAATGAAGAACTATATATTAAATCATTAACGCTATGTTTGGTTGGGGGATTTGGAAAAAGAAAGAAAAAAGGTGTGTGAAACTAAATAAAATGTAGGTATATTTCATTAATATGTTACCTACCTTTTCTCTTTCTCTTTCCAAATCTCCCAACCAAACACAGCGTAATTGGGCGTAAGAGAAGGTTATAGAGACTTACTTGGTCAAGCAGATAATATCCATGACTTTGAACTACAATTCTTTCATATTATTATTGAAACATGTTGTGATGTTTGTGATACTATTTCTTAGAAATACACTTAGTATTTAGTATTGCTTTTATCATTAATGGCTTCAACCTTTTCCCATTCATGTCCTTCCCTTTCTGTACATTTTCCCCCTCATTTGATGCACTTTTATTTGACGCGGATTTGATTTTTGGTTGTTGATATTGATTGTATTTCAGGCACAAGATTTTAGGCAACAAGGAACTAAGATAAGGAGAAAGATGTGGTTTCAGAATATGAAGATAAAATTGGTTGTTTTGGGAATCATCATTGCGTTGATTCTCATCATTATTCTGTCTGTCTGCGGTGGCTTCAAATGTACTTGATTAGGATGGTCCTGCATGATCGGCCGTTTGTTCTATTCTATTCCAACATTCCATTTTGCAGATTTATTGCTCTAGGTTACACCTTCCTTTCTTTGCAGCCCTTTTTAAAGGAAGGACCAGTAGTTTGAAGGGGTTGTATAGGTTGATATGTAGGAATTTTGTTATCTTGATGTAGAAAAATCTTGATGCATTAGGGTTTGTTTTTACATATCTTGGGAAATTTTCTTGAAATGTAATGGAGGATTATTTGGATGACTACTAATATTGTTGACCCTTTGAATTTTTATTGCATCTGTTTTTGCCGCTTTTTGAAAAGTTTGTGAATACAAAGGGGAACTCATTATTGTCAACTTTAGGTGGCCTTTTCCATTTGATTGAGACATAAGGTGTAGTTGAATTTGGTTGGTATATAAAGTTGATGAAAAAATAATTTGACTTGGATTTTCATTGATGAAGATGTTTCATAGTATTACAGTTATTGGCATTTGCATTTCTCTATGACCTGCTTGTAAGAAATGGCTATGTCGTTGATGGTTAATGATTGGCAACAAGAGTGGACGTACTCATGTGATTTTCAGGTAAGATGGTATCTTAATCCTGGAAGAACACGCACGTGTGCACATATATATATATATATATATATATATTGTAACACCCCAATTTTTATACCCGAATGACAATATAATAAACATGGCCCTTTTTAAGAAAAACCAATCATACAATTCCACACTTGCATTTCATAATGTAAATAGCTCATCATACGATGATACAATTAATCCAACAGCAAGTAAATAAACAAATAAATATTCGAAAGGGTTTATAAGTTTCTAAGGTTTAAGTCCGGTTACACATAACGGTTATTCAAATCTACACAAATATAGTCCTTTGCTTACATAATAGAGTCACGCAAAAAGAGAGCATTGTACTCTCAACACACACACTTCCACACCTTCAGTTAGGCGGAATCACCACATTTTTTCTTACACGAAAATCCCGTAGGGTGAGCATAAAACCCAGTATGAAATTCTTAACAAAGTATATACATTTTATACAAGTCTCGTGAGATGAAATGCTTATGCCATGTCATGCCTTTTTGAAAGTAAAACACACCTTTATCTTTTGAAAACCAACATGTTCAATGATGTCATGCAATTTCAACATTCATCAAATTTTATTTGATGGGCGGTAAATACAACTCCGTAAATCCCTAAGTCTGTGTCTGCAAGTAGACAATATAAGTACTACCAATTTTTCATTTTTACCAGTATCAACT